TTTAAATTTCAGATGGAAGGAAAGTAAGTGTCTAAAACTGCTTCACACTCCATACTTCTGCCTCTCATCCAAGCCATGGTTTAGCCATGCTGTGTAGAAATTCTTCCTTTTTTTCTTCAAGGATTTGCTATTTTATGCTAAGGATTAATGTTGTCTGCCGCTCAACAATATATCAAATGACATAATTTATCCAGCAATGTGAGTGTCAGACAATGTCCAGAAATATCACTTGATAAATTGTCAGTGAGTCTAATAACAGGGGGTTTATGCTAAAAAAAATTAAAAAGGAAAAGAATAGAAGGAACAACAGGTGATTTCCACTTGGTTCCCTTTATGGTTCAAGGAATGGGATGGAGTTTACTTGAATTTAAGGAGGTAAAATCAATGAAATCATTGGATTTGTGGTGTGTGCATTGGAAACCATGGTGTCTAACAATAGAGGGAAAGTGTTGAAAATCCAAGAGATGAGAAAGAGAAAATAGGCATAAAAGTTTAAAAAAAAAAAAAAGCCAAATGCAGGAGACCCAGAAAAGGAAAACTGGAGGAGAACACAGCATTTTGGAGAGGGCTTTGTATAAATGAATGGTTTGGGGGGCATCTTTACTCCCATACATGTTCATTTGATACAGAGCTAAGGACCACAGCTAATTCATTCACTGTTGCGCCCCAGCCATAGGCAGTTGCAACCCAGAATATTTTTAAAGGTCATTTATACTAATTACAACAATCAGAGTTTCCCATCAGCCATGCAAGGCTACGTCACTTTAGGCCATTTGATGTATCTTAGTTTAGTGGTAAAACTAGAAATAAAATTTACTTAACTGATGCAGTCATATCAAAATCAGCAATACACTGCTAATTTCAATAACCAATTTAGAAGTGACAGATCAGCTAAGGAAAAGTTAGCATTAGCTCACAAAAGCACTTATGACCAACTTCCAAAGGGCAACAACAGAGCATTTTGGTAAAAGAATTAATATGAGTTAGATTAGGGTTACAAGTTGCCCTGGGAATTACCTGTCAGCTAGAAGTAAAAGAGATGATGTCTATCTTACTGAAGTCCGGAGATGTAAATTTTGTTGCAGGTTGCGTGAAACTGTTTCCCTAGGTATTTTTTTTTTCCTGAAAAACAAATACATTTTTACAATATTTAAAAGGCATAAAATTAAGTAGCCAGATTCTCATCTTGTTTAGAAAGGGGAAAAACCCTCCAGAACCCCCTGCCTGTCATGCACTCCAGGCTCGGAGGGCAAGACAGGAGCTCAGTAAGTGGGGAAAAAAAGGGAGAAACAGAGAGTGTTTAACATTCAGAATTTGTCCACAGCCGATAATTTATTGGAACTCATCTGTAACAAGGCCTGGCACTGATTTATAAGTTGATTTGAAAAATAAATAAAAGTGATAGAAACCTGCATTCGGTTTTAATGATAGACTGTTGCAGCGTGAAAAGTAAGGATATGAAACATTGCAAGGAAATTAGATATTATGCCCTGAAGACAACTGCAGCTACCAGCCCATTAATTGTTAGATATTTATTATTAAAAATTTCTTTTCATGACTGACTGCAGAATATTTGCGCTCTTAAAGTTGTTGAGTTCTGACATGAATGAAGCGTATGAAGCTCATTTTTTTTTCCCCTCTGTGTGTGCGTGTGTATGTGTTTGTGGAGCTGACAAGGTAGCTGACCCCCAGATGTGATGAATCTTCCCTGCACAAACACAAACACGCAAGTGCTGCCTCTGAATTGATACTGAATAGGATAATGAATGCTGGGAAGTTTGGTACCGTTCTGAATTTCAATAGCAAGGGGCTGGACGGGGCTTGGAAACATGTCTCCCTGGAAGCAGAGAGGGCCCAATTGCTGTTTCCAGTGAGACAAACAGCATCTCCAAAGAGCTCTGACAATTTGCATCAACAGCGTATCATCTCCTGTCTGCTCCCAGAGCTTATACACCAAGTGCTGCAAGAAAGGAGCAGTGTACATTTGACGAACCAAAAAGAAGGCAAGTAAAGCATCATTTTAAAAAGTGCTCTAAAGCTCTTGGCAAACTGAGGCATTATATCATGCCTTAAAATAGAGAGAAAATTCAATCAAATAAATTCGGAAACAAAACGGGTTCACAGAAAGGCAAGACCACCTAATACATCCCCCTAGTTCTCTACCCTCGACTTACAAAATAGCCAGCATTGCTGATCTTTTGAGAAAGCGCTCTCTAAGGGAAAGACCACACACTGGACTGATGCACACGAGGCACGGCACGGGGAGCTGTGTGCCTGTGCGCCGATTGCCACATTGACCTGCTGAGTGACTGCGGGTCCTGACCTGCCTGTAGAAACACAGGCAATAATATGCCCTTTCTTTTAAAAGCAATTTGAGGACAACTAATGCAAATGGGAGAGAGACAGGGAGAGAAAAACATGATGTTTTATTATTACGTGGTCGTTATATTGCAGTAGTAACTAGAGTTACAAGGCATTGCACAAATACATAAAGAGAAATGGTCCCTATCTTGATCGGCCTATGATTCGCCTGTCTCATATTTTGCTATGAATTATTAATAGAAGTTATAATAATTAAGTATGATAATAATATGGCTACAGAAACTTTATGGAGGACGATCAGATTTAAAATCCTTGCTACTTTGATTGTCCAAGGCAAACATTACCACCATGAGCTTGTACAGCGTTCGGATCACAAGAGGCAACGCTTGACTCTGTAACAAGCAGAACAATATGTGTATCCTCGTTCCTCTCTTCCCTTCCGAGTTGTATAAGGCAGTTTATCCCCATTTCTCCATCCTCGTTTTGCTTGGAAAACCATAACTCTAAGGCCACATGCGCTATACAAATGAGGTTTTCAAAAGCAGGGATGTGTTCAGCTCACAGTAAAAGGTGTCTGGTGCTTCATCTGTCCTTGGGATGTGAACATTTCTTTCTCCATAATGATATACAACTTACAGGCTACATTACTGTTATTTCCTCGTAGGTATTTCTTCAGTGTTTCTAAGGAAGATAAAATTTGGGAGGCCACATACTTCCTTTTCAGAACACAGATCTAAAAAGGAGGAACATTTTATGCAGTGCAAAGAAGACAGGCAGCTATTAAAGAAGATTCACAGTTATAGGCAAATATATTAATGCTGGGGTTAGCTCTTGAAATGAAAATTTATAACATGCCTTAACCTAATCCCTCATTAAGATAATTTATTCCCACCCTCAAGGTCTCACATCACAGCTAGCACTAGGCAAATAATTAGTAACAAACAATTCATTTGATCAATTTCAACTCCTCTTTTTTAATGAATTGTCAGCCAATGCAGTACAATTTCCTCAAATATATTTATAATTCAACATTATTTGCCAATTTATGTGATGAATTTGTAGCCTGTTCTTTATCCAGGAGGAGCTGGGTGCTCAGTGATAGCCAGTCAAGGCATTTTGAGCGGATGCAGAAGTCATATGGCATAACTGTGTTCTTCTCTGTCTGGCAAGTGGGATGTATGGACCAATTTTACTTTGTGAATACTCAGCTTTAAAAGTTTGAACATTATTTCCCCTAAATAAAGTTAAGCACACAAACATGTTAATCCATAACTCACAGATCAGGCTGGGAGTCCTTTGCTTTGGGGTCATGTTGCCCAAGAGACTCACACCTCCCTTTGAAGCTAAGGGGGAAAAGGGACCGACTTACTTCTATCTTGCTACTGCGAGAGCACGTCCTGGCATGGGGAAGGCTGCAAGCCTGTGTGCTAATTAAGGTAGCCTTAGGAAGTCACTGCATCAGAAGCATTTCCCGATGAATCTCCAGCAAGAATCTGAACACTTGCTGAAGCACTGACTAAGCTCTTTGCTCAGCTGCCCTTCTGCCTGCTGTGGAGAAACCGGTGGGAGTCTACTTAGTAAACGTGGCATCCAGAGGACGGGTGAAGGCTATGAAATGAATTGGGGTCTCTGACACAGCCCTATCTGGGCCACCACAGCAGCCCTGGAAGGTATTTTCAAACTACATTTTTCATGTTATATCAGCCAGAATGAGAGCAGTTATCAAGCTAATGAAATTCTTACAACTCTGTCAGCTGATGGGAATTAAGCCAGGCAATACCTAAAACAGCAGCATAAAGCCACCAGGTGAAAGTGCAACCTCTGAAAGAAAGGAAGAGAAATACAGCAGTTGTGGTATAAAGGCACCAGGCTGGGATCCAGCAGGCCTGTGTTAGAGTCACCCTGTGCAGCATTCCTGTGTCAGCCATCCTCTGGTCTTTTTCTGTGAAATGGGGAGAAATGTTTTGCCGCTTTTCACGTGCAGCTGACCGCCTGTTGATTCTGTTTGCTTTCCACGATGAGGACACCTTCGTGCCACGGGGCTCCTTGGGAACCGGCGAGGCAGAGCTGGGTGCATGTTACCCCAACACAAACAGCAATAGCTAGGCAATTCAAATACTCTCTCTAAACCAAGTACTGTAAACCCAGAAAATTCAATTAAGGTTACACTTACAAGACAACAGAGAACAAAGCAGAGAACATAACCAGAGCTCTGAGCCTCACCTCAGCCCTGTAGAGACACAAAGCTGTAACCATTCAGTGACAGAAAGGTGTTTTAGCTCCTCAAATTAAGGACTTTTAAAACAACACTATGCATTTTCCTCCAATGTTTTATCCTTTGTATGCCTGGATGCATGGCAGTGAAAAGGTGTGGGGGATCTGGAGGTGGGGGGGCGGGGGGGTGTAGAGTGGCAAACCATACTGTTCTGGCTGGGGATAGTTACAACTTCCCCATAAAATTTATGTTCTGTGCATTAGATTATCAAAACCTGAACTTAATTTTAATTCAGCTCAAGACTTTCCTTAGGATAAACTATTAAAAATCTGTTACCTGAATGCCAATTAAAAAACTAAAATAAAGTGCTAGCGCTCAATATTCCTAATGAAGACACCATTAAAAAACAACCCCCCCCAGACTCGTGCAGTCCCCTACTCCAAAAAATGTCTAGAGCAAGAGCAAAGGAAAACAAGCTAGTATTTTGACATTTTTTTCCCCCTTTACTTGCTGTTTTAGAAGACTTTCAGAGCAGACAGATCTCTAAAGGATGGGTTAAACAGGACCCAGTATTTTTCCACATTGAGAATGCGCTCTTGACCTCCTGCTAAATTGCCATCCCAGCCTTACTTTGGAGCAGTAACAGAAAGCGTAAGGAACAGGGATTCTCAGGTATTGATGCTCCAGCTACAATGCTAGGAAAATATAAAGAATAAAATTGAGTAGAATCATTTGTAAATATGCCGATTCAACTTTGTCCTGTAAAACTGGTAAAATACACTGCACCTTTTACAGAAAACCTATAGAGAAGACCTAATTCTATTCTTTCACTTCTCTGCTAGCTGAAAAAATGCCCGAGTAGACTACCCTGTACAATGCGGTGGGATAGTGTCCCTCCATCTTTTTTCCATCCTCATATTTGAACCTACTCTGTAAATTCGTATAAACTCTGGCAACATTACAGCCTTCTCAAGAAAAAGGGACTGAAAGAGACTCCAGCAGCCAAGACAACTGGTCTGGTAAGTAGACCACTGGATAAAAGTCCCCTGTTCCAGCATTTCTGTCAATCTGGCTCGTTGTTTCTTTTGGCTTTTTAATGGTATCATTAACTAAAAATGTAACATCTTGTCTTAGATCAAACAGCAATTTCCACTAACTGCAAACTGTTCTTCCTTGGGTTTTGTTTTTCTGAAGAAACCGCTGCCTCTCCTATCACCAAAATGTTCCCCACACTCTCCATAAGGATTAAATCTGCCCTCAGCCCAAACCAAATATTACACACGCAATTGCTTCAGTTCGGCTGTTGAGTTTGAATGAGTCTAAATTGCTGAAACTCAGCCCCGGGGAGGAGCTGGTTGATCTCCTTTTGCAGTAATCTGTACGCTTTTGCTTTTCAAGAATTTCTACAAATCTCTATTTGTATTCACAGTTTCTTTAATTGTTGTTAGTTATTCTGCATAACCCTCTAATTTCCTGCATATTAAACATATGATCTCGTAATAGCGCCTGGTCTTTCATTTACAAGGAAAGTGCTCTTTTTTTTGGCAGAACAGAAGCACTAGCTCCTCTGTTTCAACAAGAAATTTCAAAGATGTGAGATCCTGTTATTCTGAGGTTTCTGTTCCCCTCAGAAATGTAAGTAGCGGTTACAGTCTTCTTGCAGTGAAATAACAATAGATCTGCAGTCCATGCTGCTCGTATGTGCCAACAGGCTTTACAATACATTATGCAATGCACTACCTTCAGTAGAACTTGTATGAATTTGTAGTTATTGCACTTCTTGCAAACTAACAATATAGACTTTTACAGACAACTGTGGAGAAGCAGGGCGTCGTGACTGAACAGAACTTTATTAATCCATTGTTTAAAAAATAATCTGCAGCAGTGTCAGCCACAGACTTCTGAGTAACAAATCCAAGTAAATCACTTGGCTTGCTTTTGGATACCAGCATTCCAGGGGCAAAGAGACTAAATTAAGTTAGAGTCCTAAGTGTCAGTTATCCCACACAGTCAGAACAAATCAACTGACTACACACATTCACTGAGAGTTAAGAGAGTCAGGATGTAGCTCACATATTAACCCAGATGAAATTACACCTGTTAGACAAATGTGCTGTTTTTATTTATCAGTAGGGTAATATAACAAGTATAAAGTCATGCTTACTGTTGGCTGGTTTAGCAGACAGAGGGTATGTTCACCCCTACAGCAGTGTGCGACTCACAGGCTACTGGTGTTTTGATAGTTGGTTATTAATAGACTCTACAAGCAATGGGACTTTACAAGAAACTATGGAGAATAATCACAGCAAAGAGAGTTCTGAGGTTATGAGGTATGTTCAAGGAAGTATGGCTGCATCTCTCTGCTCAGTCCCAGATTTACTCCAGCTTCTTGCAAAATGTTCAGATCACAGACACATGAGAGTTACTGCAAGACTGGGACGAATGTGATCTTATCCTGTCAGTTATTCCACAGTAACAACCTGTGTGCTCAATGCATATGAGATAATTGATGTTTTTTCAGTGAGAAGTGTATGCACATGGGCAGTTTTTACTGAATGCACTGTATGGCAGCTTCCAGAGTCACAGAAATTTGTGGACGCAAACTCTTAGGTGTCGATCATCCATTTAGAGGAGCAAAACTTTTGGGTGATCTGGTCCTTATTTTTTTTCAATAATTCAAGACCTGTTTTGCATAAAGAAATAGTACATATACCCTTGGCTCAAAAGGATAACAAAAGAATAAGCCTATGAACACTCAATAAGGTCATAGTTGTCATGGCAAAAGGAATGCAAAATGATAGAAAAATTACTTGCATAGTACAAAACTAGTAACTAGAATGCCAGTTTTTTTAACTGGTATTCTCTACTTAAGACTACAGGAATGAAATAATGGAAATGGTGAGGGCAGAGGAGCAAATAGAGATGAAACCATAAGCAATCCAGAGTGGGTGGCTCCTCTGACTAAAAGGAGCAACATCCTCCCTCAGGCTCACATCCTCATGCAGCTGCCTCTGCTCCTTTTTTGTTGCTGCCCTATTGCATCCATGGGCAGAAAAACTAAGCTTTTTGCAAGAAATAACAGAGGTAATGGCTGTACTGCCAACCCTCCCTGCGGTGGCAGTTTGGAGAGGATGATGCGCTATGCACCACCTTATTTGCTGTTGTGCTAAGCTTTAGACATGTACCATTATTTACTACATGAGGCTGAGAAAATAACACAGGTTACTAATTCTATTGAAGAGAGATTACAATAACAGAAATGAACACAGGGAAGAAGAGATGCAGACAGCTCCCACTGTGGATAAGTAAACTAAATAGAGAGGATAAAAAGTCAATATTGAAAATTACTTACAAAGAATCCCCCACACCACAGAATATTAACTAGGAAAAATACAAAGAAAAAAAATCAACCTGAACCCCCTCAAACTGTGCAAAACACAAGTATCTGCACTTTCAATCCATTTTAACACTGTAAGTCATTGCCAGAAAGAGGATCCAAGAATTATAGCTCTGGCAGAAGAAATCCAGCAGATTGAAGAAACTGCACGCTAAATAATATGCAGCTCCCTTCAGCCACCTGCATATCTGCCAAATGTGGTTCACTCATTTTCATTTTAACGCAGCTATTCTCAACTTTGAAGGACCTGCAATGAATATGACTGACAGGAGCCATCCTCTTTCCAACCACGAAGTCTCAGCATAGCTAAAAAGAATGTCTTTGCCCATCAATCAAGGTGTACATTTAAGATGAATCTGACTTCACATGGGATCTCTGCAGACAGGAGGGAAGCTTTGCACAGAGAGGGGCAGTTAGTTGCTCTTCTGAGGTGACTGAATTTGGTGCTTTCAGAACAGGAAAGCAGTTAAGGCTCAACAGGATTTCGTCTGTCTTCGATTGCTTTGAAAACTCCCTGTCCCGATTCTTCGTCTGATTACTGAAACCTGCTTTCCATCTGTTGCATCCAACATCATGCAGTGAAAAAGGATAGCCAAGAATTAATGCTATTGCTGCCCAACGCATCTTGATTTTAATTTCTTTCCTTTCCTAATGTCCTTTCTTCATCCCACCACAGTGCACAGTGCAGAAATATAATCTGGTAAAATATACCACATTGCACCTTTCCAGTACAGAGCTACACCTGTTCTCCATACAAATTTAGCTCTCAGTAGGAAAAAAAACGTAGCTCTCCTAACTAGTGACATTTCTATTTAGAAACCAAACATGTATCATTTCTACACAGTCTGTGCTTCAACTTCTTGGGAAAAAAAGGAGCTCTTATCTGAGAAAGAACAGATTATATTGAAGCCATCTTGCAATGCAAAGTTTACCAAGTCTAAGATGGTCAATTCAACCTGCCTTTACCTATGTGCCTGGGGACCCAAAATCTTTAGGAAATAACTGGTCTCATCCCTGGCAAGCAAGACTGCTTCATCTCAGGCTGCTTTCATCCCAGGAAAGATGGAGTTTGCAAACCAAGCTTGTACAGCCAGGCATGACTCTTTTGTTATGGGTAAGGAGTCCAGAGAAATCAGGTGTGACACATAGGAAGGGTTAGCTACTTCTAAATCAGTTCTTACCTATGTAGTTACATAGATTTTTTTGTCTTTTATTAAAATCGAGGATGGTGATATTACCTAACAGCAAGAATACAGTCTTCATTTGAAGAGGCCAAGCATTCACATCCAGATTTTACTATTAGCTGCGCTGCACAGGATGGTGTAAACTAGGGATAGAATACTACCAGCTGTTAACTTCAACTGCTTATTAAGGGCAATTTTTAGTGTATTTCTCACTAAAATGATTTTCCAGTACCAAAATTTGGATAGTACACAAAATAAATAATCCTAACTTTAGGCTACAGCAACAAAAGATTAAAGGCATGTTAAAGCCTAAAGAGCTTAAATTCTGCTTAGTTGCTGCCTGAAGCCTATATGAACTCCGCTTTATGCATTAAAGCCTTTCAGGGGCCCCCAAATCCTATTTTGGACATGTCCATGATTGTTCAAATCCTGTGGCTGCAATGTCTATCTCAAACTAAAACACCCATCAAGTTAAAAATAAATGGGTATACCTTTACCTGTTTGTAAGCATAAGCAGGTTTACTGGATTAGGCATGAGAGTATTAATATAGCAGGCTACATTTAAAGACACGGTGAGCAGAGAAGCCGTTTCTATCTTCCAACAGCACTGTTCGTCGTTGGATGATGCGGCTTTTCTCTCCTCAGCCACAGCAATCACAGCCACGTCTCCCCCTCAGCTCTCTTCTGAAGGGGTACTTTCAACTTTTAAACTACAGGTCATTCTGAAAGTCAAGATGGGGCACTTCCAATTGCTATTGCTATCACTGTATTTGCTCGTGAGGGACAACTATTTAGCTGGACCTGGTCATTCAAATTAAGGCCAAAATATGTGTGAATAACTTGCCGATCTGCAAATTTGAGTGCCTCAACTTTCTATAGATAGCCTATAACATTATCCACTTCCAAAGCATAGCCTGTAGCACCCTTCCATTTTTGTGCTGAGGGCTCTTTACCTATAACACGCAGTGCTGCAAAACACGGTGGGTGTTCTTGTGTACTGGAACTACCATGAGAGCCTGCAGTTTTTGAAGTCATGGAGAAGTACGCACTGAGGAAGCACCTCTGTAGTGTGCAGCCAACAGTATCACCTTATAGGCGAGACTGGGCTGTGGCACTTTCAGTGCTTCAGCACCAAGACACCACTGCCGTGCCATATTTATGTTAGCACTGAGTGCCAATAGTTACTGTAGTGCTGGGGAAACTGAACTCCTGAAAGGAGTTCAGGAACTTAGAAAGAGGCAAAAGTGAAGAAACAAGAACTGTAGCTTGTCAGGAAAGATTTGATCTTCTACAAATGGTACCAGTAAATGGATCCTACGAGTGTGTCTTAATTCTGAAAGATGAATGGGGGCCTACTGAACCACTCACCAATTGCTTCACAGACTATAACTGAAATTATAACCTTCCTCCTATAATAGTGCTGTATTTATCCTTTCTCGGGAGAACAGGGAGAGCTCAGCCTATTCCACCATGATCTGAAAAACCACCTTCCATTTTCTTATGAATGCTAGAGTCTTCTCGGATGTCTACATTTCCTCAAGACGTAGACCTCACAGGAAGTAAGCACAAGCACTCCTAAACCACATCTACAACTTGGCTTGGTAAATCCAATTTCTGCTACCTAGAAAATTCAGTAAGCTGAGGACAGATAGGCTTGCTGTCTTAACAAAGAGCTAAGCAGACGTGCTGGCAGCACAGAATCAACCTGACTTAGCACATAACCAAAACCTGCTGTCTCGCAGTCCTCTCCCATGCCTGGCTGGGTATTTCACCCAGAACATGTTGTCAACCAAGGCTATTCCAGGAGACATTGTGCAGCAGAAGCCAAACTAAGAACACTGTATTCAAATGTACCATACTAACAGAAGCCCAGGGGATATTTCGTTGATTTTCCCTTTACTACTGCAGTTACAGGTGAAACAGCAGATTGCCATCTGACAGAGGTTGTACAATGGTTAACAGCGGCATTTAATGTGCACGTGTGCGTGTGTTTTCCAGTGCTGTTGGGGTTCAAGTGTTCAACCTGACACAGCAGTTTTGCTTCAGTTTTACATGGAACTCGGACTGGTCTACAATAGAGATTTTTGCATAGATATGCTCGCGTAAATGCCTGAGACTACAGAACCGTATTTATACCTGTGTTTCGAACAAGTAGGACGACATCTACCACAGGTGACCACATTCACGCAAAATGCTGACAACTAACAAGGCAGCAAGAAGTGTAGCAACACTTCTACCAGCCATCCGAAGACCAGATGCTGTACTAACACCCAATAGCACGGTAAGAGCTAGATGAAGAAAATCAAAAGCAACCTTGAACTCCTTAATGAGTACATTCAAATAGTTCTGTGTCGACACCATCAGTTTCACCTACCAGTTTCTTGCATTTGCTCCAACAGATTCACATACTCTCATTTTGCATTGAGCAGCAGTTACCAAATGAAGGTCTCTCTCTCTCAATGGGACCGTGGTCTGAAACTACTCACTGTTCAGCTAGAATCACACTATTGGGCACTGTCAGCATGGGTTCTTCAGCTTCAATGAAGTTACTGTAGCCAACCCAAACAGAGATACTTGTTTTAAATAATATTATATTATATATATATAATATTTAACATTAAATCTTTGAAAAAAGGAGAAAAAGTGGAAGTATCAGAATCTGGACAAAGGTAGTAAGATTTACAATCACAGAATGACTGAGGTTAGAAGGGACCTCCAGAGGTCATCTGGTCCAAATCCCCCTGCTTAAGTAGGGCCACCTACAGCTGATTCCCCAGGTCCATGTCCAGTCAGATTTTAAGTATCTCCAAGGATGTAGACTGCACCACCTCTCTGGGCAACCTGTGCCAGTGCCTGGTCACCCTCACAGTTAAAAAGGGTTTCCTGACATTCAGGGGGAACCTCCTGTATTTCAGTTTATACCTATTGCCTCTGCTCCTGACACTGGGCACCACTGGAAAGAGCCTGGGACCTTCCCTTCAGGTACTTATACACATTGATGATGTTCCCCTGAGCCTTCTCTTCTCCAGGCTGAGCAGTCCCAGCTCTCCCAGCCTTTCTTCATAGGAGAGACGCTCCAGTCCCTTCATCATCTTTGCATCCCTTTGCTGGACTCTCTTCTCTAGCCCCATATCTCTCTTGTCCTGGGGAGCCCAGAACTGGACACAGTATTACAGGTGTAACAAAAATTACAAGGTAAAGCTTTACACACAAAATAAAATAAAATAAAAAAAGAAAACGAGATGAGAAAAGGAAGCATAAAACTGAGAAATCTAACGAAGAAAAAAAAATATTTAAATATCCAAAAGTGTAGAGAAGCATTACATCACTGCCGCATCTCAAGAAAAACCAGCAAAACAGCAGAAATTGATGCAGGTGTAGAGAAGAAACGGTAAGGCTGCATTATATTCTGAGTATTTGTGTATGGATGTTCTTCATTGTGTTACTGTCTTTGCTTCTCTACAAGTGAATGACACGAAGATACAGATCCAACATGACATCCTAATGCTCAATTCCTCACATTATGACAATTTCTCACAGTTTTCCAATGGCTGCAGCCTTTGATCAGTAGCAAGGTCGACTAAATTCAGACCAGTCACCTGAAAGTGAAGGGTATTCTGCTTCTCCTACGACTGTTACTCTCCCCGGCTTGTTTCCATAACAGGGTTCACAGAAAACAGAACAAATCAACAAGACGATAACAACACACACAATGCAAAGAAGCTTCAAACAAAATGCAGGAAGCCTATCCTATGGCTGCCTTAATTTCACTTTGAATTATGCTAGTACAGAACACAGAATGGAAATAATTTAAAATCTCTACTACTGTAGTAAAGGAAAACTGAGCTTACAATGTTACTGCTTTACTTCAGGTACAGAAGGGCTCTGCCGGACTTGGGGCACAGAATAACTGAGGGTATTAACATCTATTCTCTGCTCACCACAGACTTACTAAGGCAACTTTGGGCAAGTTACCATCTCTGCTTCATGAGTGAAATTGAGATAGGATTTTTCTGCCTCATAGGCAAGACTGAAATTAATGTCTATAATCTGCCTGAATAGTCAGGAGTTTTATATTAAATATTAAAATTAATAAAAAGATTTTTAAACAGGTAAAGTATAAAAGAAAAGAAACCTTCCACTAACAAATTCTGAGCTATTACCTAAACCACATATAAAATCCCTCTAGAAAAAAGTATGAATCCATTTAATTACTTCCTTAACTTGTGAAGCTTACTTATTATTTCCTGCCCTCTAGAGTATACATGCAATTCTATACATCTTTCCAGAACAGTAAACAGCTCAGAAAGTTTCCATGACTGAGCAAGCAGTGGTCAACATAAGAGAGGGGCTTGTTTGTGCCTGGGAGCACGGGAGGCAGTAAGAAAAGAAACAAGACAGCTTAGTGAGGAAGGCGCTTATTAAAGAAAAAAAGAGCACTTGCAATAATTTATTTCCTCTTCCTTTAGTTCTCAAAGGCAAACAAGGGAGAAGAGAGATTTCCTTGGAAGATGGAATGAGGTCAAGGAGTTAACTCATAGATGTACTCACCAAGACCTTTCCAAAAATAATGGAAAGTAAAAAAGGAAGGATTTTTTTGTTGAGAAAAAAGGCTTTAAAAGAATCATCTGGACAGTCATAACTGATGCGAAGCAGAAAATATGGAATGTGACCAATCTGTAATAGTATGATGTCAGCCCTTAAAGGCAGGAGCAGAAACTTGAAACAATCCATAGTGCACCAACAGAGCACGTTAAAAAGGAAGTTAGCATCCAAAAGAAAGACAAGGAACTAAGGAAGACAAGTAGGAATGACATGTGCGTAAATTTTAGCTTAAAGTGTTTGGTAAATTCAAAGCACATGAGTGGCAGAAGAAGATTAGGAAAAACAGTTTAATGAAGTATCAAGAAACACAGTAGGTTTGGGGGGCGTTCAGAGCATTAGTTCTTCCACACTTGCATTCACATATAGCTATCTGGATAATTAGCAGCTCGATGATATTGATGTACTGAAATACTGAAGAAATCCACTGCACAGTCAACTACTTCAGTATTCAAGTATGCCAAATAAATGCAAAAATGTAACATGAAAGCAACTGCAAATGCTTACTAATTTAGGAAAACAGAGCTCCCTCAGTCCTCCAAAAGAGGCACAAGTAGAGAGTGTCACAGAGGCAGATTGCTGACATCAATGGAGACCATGGGCAATCGTAAATTTTAGTGTGAGCTTCAATCCCATTGTAACTAATTCTTGTATCACATTTTTTCTGTAGCGAGGAGAAAGTTGCGCAGTATAAGAATAAGAAGCAGCTAAGTCACATTATATTTAGGTAATAAATTTTATGGTGGCAGAATGAATTTTTTTTTCTGTAGTTTCATAAAGCCTACTGTAACGAGTCCAGGAGCCAATGAGTATAAAATGCAAAAGTTATTATGATCAGCCTACATTGCAACATTAGGAAGGGTTAACCAACACCCCAATGTAAGTGCTCTTACATGAAAAATAAAGAATTTACAGTTACTTTGTGGACAAGCCCTTATTCATATTTCATAGGCAACACAAAACCAACATACATATACAGTACAGAAATTCCTAAAACAAAATTTTGTATTAAGAACACTTGGAGGTTTGTAAGGTTCTCTTACTTCCATGTGCTATAACGCTTATTAAAAAAACCCCACAAACAATTCACTGAAATGAAGGTTCTCCTGGTCTCAATGAAAGCATGAAATTGGTGGCAAATTATGAACTACTCTCACTTGCGTGTGCATTTTCATTAACATGCTTACATATTGTTGATTAGCAAGTACTAGGCTCACACCTATGAAAATAAAAATCTGATTCTTAAATTTATGCTAATAACACTGTACCTACAATATTGTCTATAAAAATCATTTTTTACAGTACACCTGTAAAACAAAACATATATTTCCATAGTTAAGAAAAAGAAAATTAATAAAAAAATAAATCAATACCTTCCCTAATGTGTGCTCCATTAACTCAGCCTTGTATACAACAGAGAATAAATTAAAAGGTAAATTAATACTATGGTCTCCAAAGAGAGAAAATAGAGACAAAACTGGATTATATAAACAGTTCGGCAACCTGCATGCTACATTTGAATTCTAGTCAGAAGCTTTGGGAGTGACTTCTCATCTATTTATATAAAACAGATGCCAAACAAACTATATTTACTATGACTTTCTGCATGTATGGTAGCTTTCACATAATTTGGTTTCCTGAAGTTCAATAATGTTTAGCAACAGACAGAGTTTACAGATGGCAATACTGAGACTGAAAAATTGTCAAAACGATTCTCAAATGCTAATTACCAAGTTCCACCAAGCTACTGAACAGAACAGTAAATGTTCTGTAGTTACTTTCTTTTCAATAGTTCAAAACCTGTCCCTCTTTTAAGCTTGATAGGTAACTTAGAACCTCACTGGACAGAGCAACTTCATTTAGTGAAAAGAATGCAAGGGAATATAAGAGTTGATAAATATTTGGGGAAGGAAATGCATATCAATCCCCTTGACTTGGTCAGCAGCACTCTTGCATCAAATTTGAAATTGTAACCCTTTTTCATATCTTATCATAAAACTTTGGCTGCAACATGAAAATGGATCACCATGGCAGGCCATCCTTCTCTTTCAAGGTGTATCTCTTTGTTAAATTTACACCTCTCTACCTTATCCAGGGCACAATCGATCATGCAGGAACTGGGAATTTAAAAACCGAAATTGTCACATGCAATAAAGTCTTCTAACTTGGCAACGCTGGGTGTATATGGGTTGAAAGGCTTTGAAAGGCTTTGCTGACACACCAGAGTAGCTTGAGTGCTGGAAATAGTGCAGTTACGTTAGTGCAGCTCTCCAACCATTTGCCCCATCATGTGCAGATGGCTGTGTTATTCTGGGTTCTACTTTATAACATAGTTAACACGGCACATGCTAGCTACCAACTCAATGAGCAAAATTTAAGGCACATTTTGTGTCTGTGCTTTGATTACAAGATCCTTGGAACAGCAATTCTTCCTAAATGTCTGAAAAACATTTTGCACATTTTGAATACTTTCATAAACTAGTATTTTTTAGCAGAAGGCAACCCTGTGAGATATTTCAGTTCTTTGTACATTCTTCCTGCCTATGCAATTCTATTATCCAATTCACTTTCATCTAAGTTGAAAGAACACACACCAAGATGCATCTAAGGGACACAACAACAACACTAATGTCGTGGCCACATAAGAACAATAAACTGTACAGAGATTAGTATTTTTAAAGTGCGATTGTTAAATATTTAAGAAGAAAGAGATGGCAAGCAATTCAAAAGGGAGTGGAATATGAAAGTAAGAGAGATAAATGGACTTAGTCTTCCTAAATTCATGATGAAAAAGACAGACTGGTAGTACTTTGTCTCCTCCTGTCATTAAATAAATAAAATTGTAATCTGTACCCTAATCCTCTTAAGTTCATCACAGCACCACACAAAGACTGACACAATACATATTCCAAATACATTAGCAGATGCTGTTATTCTTTACTCCAGTACTGAAAAGTTTTGATTTGATGATACTAATTTAGAGGACTTCCATGTCTCTTTACACCTCTGCAATATGGAGGGCCACAGGCCACTAAAAATTTTCACCACTGAATAAGCAAATGACGGCTTCTTACACCACTGTTTCTAACACAACTCTTTCATTCTGTGTTCTCACCCTGTTCAGGCCTAAAAGCCCATTCCCCCCATGTAAAAGCATGGGTGTTGACTGCACAAACTCAGTCTAATTTTTGCTTCTTGCAAGCAATAATCTAAAAGAGTTACACTGTAAGATTTCCATAAAAAATTCAATTATTACAATAAATACCAAGTTCTGTGATGATCTAATCAATAACTTAAAAAAAACCCCAACATTTTTATTTAAAATGAAAAAGAGTAACAACATATCATATAAACCTTCCACCTTTAAAAATCGCAATTTGGTCAACCACTTGCTGATTAGGTTCCATTAAATGTTAATACAGTATTACATTTAAATTACCCTGCCTAGACAATTAACAAAGACAAAGAACCACTAATCTCAGATCAGCCACATGGACAATATTAAAATGCCCAAATTAGACTTCTACTGTGTCCCACTTGGAGTGCAGCTTCTCAGCAGTCTGCCAGGAGCTGCCGTCCTTCATTGCCCGATAACACCATCTGACGATGGCCTACAACCCCTTCTACGATGAATTCAAGTGCTCCGAAGAAAGGGCTCACGAAAATGTGCATTTCTAGCAAACTGCAAGCAGACAATATGCCTTCAGCTCCTTTGGTTTTGATAATGTTCCCTTTGGAAAGTGAATCATTTGAAGACTGTTCCAATAAAATAGTAAGTCATAGTCTAGACAAGGCATAAACCGCTGCCTATACAGTTTGTGACAACGTCCTTGTTTTCCTTTCTTCCACACTTTTTTTCCAAAGCCCATGCAGCGAAGGCAGTTTGATTTTATCCATATTCTTACTGTAAACATTAAGAAATATACCAAGGACAACCAGTAAGCCTGACCACACGTACCTACAGAGGAGGGAGAGGAGGGGAAAGAAAGTTACCATTAGCACTTTATCTGTAGCGATTACATAGCAATATTCGTGGATTAAATAAAGCCCCTACATTAAGGAGAGAAGAGTTTAAGGAAAAAACACCTCACAAATTAGTGGACTCAGAAAGAATTTGCTTGAATCTTTATTATTACTATTATTCCACCCTTCCTTTTCCCATCCTGTCTGCAGAACTTATTAAGGTGCATTTATAATAAAGAATAACTAAACAGTAGCTGTTCTTTCTCACATGAATAAAGTAGTCCTGAAGGGTTTTAGTACTTTTTTCCTTGCTACAGTTATGAGAGCTATACTCTCTATTACTGGTCCAAAATGTGTTCTCACTCAGTGCCTTATATCCATACTTCCCAATGTAAGCACATTTTTGTTTCAGCTCTCCATTATTTAAAGCCTCAAGATGTTTAGCTGGAGTAAATTCCATTTGGGCATTTGGCTGTAAGCTTTGTTCTTAAATCTCAAATAAATTTATATGTAGCAATAAAATTGAATACAATTTTGTTTCAAACCACAAGCAATTAGGATCAATGTAGCAACTTAGGTGCATTTTTCAATGTAAGCTCTTCATTGAAATGAAAAAAAAAAGGAAGAAACCCAAGCTCAAAAATCTTACAATTTAATATATCAAAATAATAGAAGCTTGCAGTTATGTAAAAGGGCTAGCTAAGAACTCAAACCTGAGTTCATAAAAGGGGAAACAATACTGTAATGGAGAAAATGCCTTCCTTTAGCCAAATCTTCCTCCACAGAGAAAGTACCCAAACAATTTAAGTATCACAAGCACTAGATATTATGTAAGATTAAAAACAAACAAACAAACAATCACACACACACCTAGCTTGTTTTCCAGAGCTTTAGAAGAATGGAAACTATTTTCTCTAGCATGATAAGCATCACCAAGCCAGTCAATATTTACAGCAGATGGCCACCAACTGTAGAAGATATGAAATGAAAAGCATTAAAGCCTGAACATGATTAATTACTGTTGTTATATTCCCATGATCAAGAATGTAATTTTTTATAAAACATATAAAAACCCACTTAAAACTATAAATACTTACTGGAATGTGAATGGCTTTGCAAAGAACAAAAAAGAAAGCACAATGGTCATTGCTTTTCTTCCTGTTGTTACTGCAGAGGAAAACAAATATTCAGTTACAGCAAAAGAACATAAGATAGTCTTCAATATTTGTAGATAACTTCATTAATTAAGTGTCTGGCTAAAATCGTCCTTGGTGCAAACACAGACTGCAGAGGCACCAGTCCAGTGCAAAATAGTGCTACAACCATATGGTACAAGTACATTGCATCAGTAGTATCAGCTCCAGCCACACTATCTGCAGCAACTTCCAGAACAAGATTTGCTATTTAAGAACTTCATGCTAATCAATTCACAATATCTGAAAGCAACAAACAATCCTTGCAAGTAACTGATAGTATAAACCAATCTGTTAAAGCAGAGAAAAGTGGTATCGCTATTTAGATACATCAAATCTCTTGCTGTTTCCACCTCATGTTATTATAGTTCAGAGGTGTTTCAGGCTTTATTTTTAAGTGGAATGAGATCAGCATCTTGTCATTCTTTTGAAGTTACTGAAAATTTACCTAACAGTGCAGAGAAATACAATTTTGGTTAGTGATATAAAAAACCAAGGATATCTGACTTCAAAGATTATGCATTAGAAGTTTTCATCAAAACCATTAAGAGATCTTTTCTACATGTGACCTGATCACTAGAAAGAATCAAGGTAGTATGAAGAGTTGAGAACACAGTCCTGTTACCAAAATAGAAGTAAACTATCTGTTTGGGTTACTCTCAAATTAGCTATACCTCCAACAATTATTTGAACAATTCAATGCTATCTGCTATGAACAAGAATACAGTATTGCTAGCAAATTGTATACCTGGAAACATATATAGTTTATCACTGAAACAAAATCAATAAATGAGTAAAAGTTATAGAAAGTGTTTAAAAAAAAAAGTAACAATGCAGCCAGGCGTACAAGCTTAACTAAGGGGCTGAGAAACTGTTATATGCTAGCACAGACTTCTCACTTAAGAGAGACCTCACTACAATCGTCTGCACCAGAAGAAAACTATGTTTTTTATTAACAGAAAATATTTTGCTTACCATGAAGCACTTTTTATTATACCATACTGGAAAGCCTTACTTGTATAACTACATCCACATTAGTCTTACTGTAACATACTGACAAAAGGACCAATGACTACTGATATATTTTCACGCTGTTATGGCTAGTAAAGCAAGTTTCATTCTCCCCAACTCCCCCCCATTAACAAACATTTACTTAAAAGCATGTTTTTCAGTGGAAGAAACAGACTTCACCATTGCTTTATCTGCCCCAATCTCAACTTTTTAGCAACAATTTTCTTTACATTTTAAGAAATTTATGTGTATCAAATAAAATGATTTTCTACCACATGAAAAATTAAAGGAGAATGAAAAAGAAAATTGAGTTTTAATTAGAAAACAGTTTACAGATGAATAATTTAAAAAATGGTTAAATTACTTCAGTTTTTCTAATTACGATTATTTCTGGTCTTTCAAATCAGTTATTAATTAAAATATTTATGTAACCATTTCCTTCTAAATTAAGTGCCTTTTCTTCTTTCCCCAATTAAGTCTGATAATTCCTCATTCTTAAACATTTTCACATTGCTACTGGCAAGATGGAAAGGGCTCACGTGTTAGGATTTTCAAGGTCAGGCATAAGAAAACCTGGGAAGGGTTTGCTGTTCCACAGCACTTAAACATTTTTTGGCACAGGAAGCTTTTTTTTTTTTTTTTTTTTTTTTAATAAAGAACTATTTTAATACATGAACCAAACCTTTCATCTGGGCCAATTTCCAGTCAGGAGACGTACTGAACTTTGTTAAAAACAAACATGAAAAAGAAGTGCTGCAGAAGCAACAATTAATAGGAGGGCAGAGCATGAAATCCTCAGGTCAGAAAACGATGGTCTATATTTTCCTCCCCACTCCTGCGAATGAAGTAGAGCATCACCTGACAGAAACCAGCCTTTAGGGGGGATAGAGGGAAGAGCAGAAAGTAGCCCCATGGCATCTTGCTCGACCTTCCCCCCAGAGCCTTGTGACTAATGTTTGTAGTTTTAAGAAAAGGTAACCTGAGGAAGAAAAGAGCCTGGTGTAACTGCTCCCGACAGACTACTGTAATGACTATACAAATGATAGGAGAAGCTAGACAGGCAATAACTGTTTTTTGAAAAATGCGCTCAAGTTACATTTTAAGTTTTGAAGCAACAATCTTCTACAGACAAACAATTTGACGTTCCATAGCAGTTGCATGTAGTAAAGAGTGATAATTTTAGGGACAGCCTGAAAACAGGTGTACAGGAAGATGCTGAAAAATGATCAAGTATCAGGCTTTCCCTTTAGTGTTGTTAGAGACATAAAAAATGATAACATTACAAATAACTGCTGTAAAAATGAACAGCAGGGTCATTTCCCCTTATTCCAACAGTTGAGGGTATTCTGATATGTAACCACACTTCAGTCACCTGACTGTTTTACTAACTCTTAATGATACAGGTTAAAAGCATTCACCTGTAATACAGTCACGTCATTTGGCTGTAGCTAGCTCTGCCACATTAAGGTAACGCCGCATACTAAAATATGCCACGGCCTCAAAAACACAGATGCAAGCCACAATAAACTAGCACAAATAATTTCTGAGCCACAATTTCTGTCACACCTGTCTTAGTAGTGATTCCTTTAATAATTTTCTACACTGCTTCCATGAAGGAGCTCAGGCAGACATAGTATCAATAAGGTCTGAACACACTTCCTTCTCCGAAGCCATACAGTTGTCCTTCCACACAGAATATGTTTTGGTTTAATACTTTTCATTGTTTCTAAGGAACTCATCAGCCAATGCATTAGTAAAGACCAAGCATAACGACATGACATTTGTTGCCAGTGCCGCGCTGAGACTCATTGTGCTCAGTGGCTTCCTCATTCATAGAGCACCAGACAATCTCACCTAGTAGGATTTCAATCTCTCCACACGATTTTTCCAGATGACCGATTACTCAACGTGAAGAGTACGTCCTGTTGCATACGGGATAAAAGTCAAGTCTGAATATCTATAAAGGTTGAAAATCTATAATGGTGTGACTGCCTCCTGCTTCATGTCCTCTTTTTCCTCATGCATCACACACCTGGAGCATGTCAGCACAGATAGGTCTGACTTGCATTTATTGCTGGGAAATTATTATACTACTAGGTGAGAACACCACATCACAGAAACTTTTTATTTGTGTGTGAACTATCACAGGAGCAGACCAACATGGCATTTGGTGACTTTCTTAGCCTGGAGAGGATTCCATTAACTTTTGACATACATTAGGGACTTACATTGTGCCATATTCATGTGTGGCCAGCAGACACACCAGTGAGTGGCCCAAATTTTTTCAACATACTACTGATCAGAGTTCTTTACATTTATTTCTTCTGACATGGTTGATACAGTCATATGCTGTACTCAGCATTTAACAGAAAACGTGACTGCTCCCATTTTTTGTGGGACAATTACATCAGAAGTCTAGAAGAAGATCTGAAAGACCAGACGGTCTGCTTCTGTCATTAACAAGAGCTTGAACCTGTTCTGTGAATACACAAGTTGACAATTTAGACAATCCAGCAGCTGTTACACAGCCCACCAGAAGTTTGCTTAGTTCAAATTCTGACTTCTGAAAATAATACACACCCTTTATTCCCCTCAATTTAACAAAAAGAACTAAGGAGACCACCAGGAAAGTAAAAATTTCTTCTACCCGAGTTTATTCTGAACTGAGTCTAGAGTGTACATTTAACATTGCTACTGCAGTATCCCATTGAGTGTGTATTGACATTCAGAAGCTTCAGGGGAGTTCTTCATATTTTTTCTACCAATACCACTTGTTGGAAATCTCCAGAAATTCTATGCTTAGAGACTATGACACTGCCTACTATGCCTTACTGGAACATCCTTACCTTTCCTTCCATGTTCCAAATAACACCTGTCTTTTCCTTACAGCTTGCTATGCATTTCCATTACAATTCCATTGTTTAGAAAAGTGTTGTTTCTGCCTTAACACATAGTACAGGCTGTATGCACAAGTTTACTGAACAGGCTCTTCAAAGTTGAAACTGTAGCACAGAAAGGACCAGGAAGCTCTCAAACGCATACTACTAGATAAGATCCACAAGCTACGATCAGTCAGCACAAAGAACAGAAAAAAAGCCAGAGTGAGAACAATTCTCAAAAGCTCTGTCCTAAATAATAGAATAGGATTACTTCTAATAGGCTTTTATACCACAAGCAGTAAAGATATCATTTGTCCATACCTGTTACAGCCAGAAGGGCACCAAAGATTTTAATCAAAGCTAGAACAAAGGATATGCCAAAATATCCAGTCAGGGAGAAAAGGAATGCGTAACCATAAGTCTGAACTGGATGCTGCAACAACAACAAAAAAAGCCTGTTAGGAAAATGCAAAACAAACCCTGAGGTATTGCAAAATGACATAAAACTACAGACTTTAATCAGTTGCTTGAGCAATAATAAGGTGTTCAACAATGCATTCATGCAAAGATCCTTACTTAATTTTAGTTAAATAATGGAAAAATAATAATGAAATTATAAGCTCTTAAGGCTGGTCCTGTGATTTTGTTTTGTTTTTTAAAGCATTACCTTATCTTATACATCAAAGACTGTAACAACATGCTTAATGTATGAATTACACCAGTCAACCAGTTTACATGATGAAAATATAACTTCTGAGAAGAGGTGAGATTTTCTAAACTGTACAGAGCAATGTTTTCCAATGAGGTTGTTCATAGAAGAAAAAGGAAATCTTTACACCTACCTTTGAGCAAAATGTTACTGCAGGGCTTAATCCACTAGTGCATGTTAATCCAAATAAAATATACACAAACCCTATTGAATAGGAATACAAAACCTAGAATAGTTTAAGAGAAAATAATTACCAGGTGATCCTACACAGAAGGACAAAACTAAATGCTTTCAAATGTTTGGCCCTATTAATATGTTCAACTTCTCAGAGTTGAATTTGTGGTGTTTGAATATATTTTTACTAGAATTTCTGTAATAGCTGATGTACAGTGAAAAGTAAAAAATAATTGTTATAGAGATTTTTCTTACCTACAACTACATAAAAAAAATTTTGTAAGCTAGTCAGTTGTTAATACCCTGAGGTCAACATTGACTCTGGCAAATCCTTCAAATTCAAGATTTCACAGCCTAAATAAAACTTTGCACAACTATATAATTAAATAGTTTGACTAATGTCAAACATATTTCATTTTCTGCTACTTATCCTGCACAGTAAAGATCCGTATTACAGTAAATGTGCAAAGGGTAGCACATAATCACTATGAGTTGCCGGAATCATCACATAAGTTTCATCTGTGTCAGCTCATGTACATGGTGCACCTGTGTTATGGTTATAGGATACAAGATTTTCATGTATGACCAGCTCTGGCCTAGTTCAGTACTCAGAACTGACTATACTCAGCAAACAGGTAAGCTCTTCATTTTGCCTGTACTCTTATTTAACCCATAGCTTCATACAAAAGCTACAAAAGCATCTTCATGCTATCTTTTCCCATGTAGAGGTAACAACAGAAGCTGGAACTGCCCATCCATACATCCTCCCACACAGTGGGAGGCATTCAGCTGTTTGGGCAACATTTAGTGGCCTTTTCTCGTCAAAAAAGGAGACAGTGAACAGAACTGTTCTACATGTTACCAGCTAGAACACACCAATTTACTACACTTTCAAAACTCAAGTGTCAATTACAGGCCTACTTCTTTTGACACAGGTTTCATCAATTGTTTTCTTGCTATACTATCCCAATCACTTGCAAAATTACATGTTAACAATTGATAACAATGCCATGAGACAGAACACTTATCACTGCTCTACAATAAAGGAGTATGAATATACATTTCAAGAGCAGAACTGCTTTCAACCTCTTAAAAAACAATGACCTGATCTTCAGAGCTCTTATTTTACAGTGTTTATACACACACAAGTTAGTCTCTAGTTCTTCATTTGCCTCTGCACCCAACTTTTCTCCCAAACTACCCAAAGACCTCACTTTTCACAACCAGGAACATGCACCACATTGCTAGTTCCTTGTTAGGCAATGTGACACAAGTCACTCCCTTAGACTCACACACAAGGCAAAATCAGATGTAACTTTCCAGAGCAGTGGTTACTATTTCAGCTGCAAGATGTCTTTTCTCTTTTCATAACTGCTTAATCCAGGGCACGTTCCAAATTTGGCAACGAAACAGAGATCCTGTGGATGACAGGTTCTTCTACCATTCAGCCTTATTTCCAGATCACTGTCCATTAAACATGATCTCCGATTCAGAAGACCTCTTAAATTTTCACTCACAATCTCAGGTCTAGAAAAACGATTTCTGAAATCCTGCTTGTACTTCTGCACTGAATTGTCCAAACAAAATCTCAGAGTACAATCTCTAGGCCTCAAACAAACAAAACCTTTATATCCTTAATCACTACACTGATTCTCTGCAAGTAGTATGAGTATACAATATGAAGACCAACATTTGCTAGACTAATGCTGAAAAAAACAAAGCCCTGGAGATAACAGGAGCACCACAGGTGAGGCACTTAACAGCTGTCAGACGACTGTTGGCAGGATGCAAAATGGGCAAGAAAACAGTTACAGATCGTACTTTGTCTTGGATTTCAGAGCTTACAGCTACAGAAGGCCGTGCTGGGTCAGGTGAGGTCCATCTAGCTAAGATCTCTGCCTCTGGCAGCAGAACAGTGAATAATATGAAAAAGTACAAAAATAAAACCCAAGAATACAGTGACACTTTTCAGGTATATTCTTCCACTTTCCAGCAACTTGTAGCTATTCTCATCAATAAGAAACTAGATTTTCTAGTTAAATGTCAAATACATGCCAAATATGCAAATTAAATGTCGATAATTTTTTACTTGTGGCATATTCAAACTATGTCTGTTACAATAAAAAATTTTCTTGTGTTTACTCGATTTTGGAGAAAAGATACCAAATTCAAACATAAGTTTTTTCTAAAAAGAAAAAAAAGTCAGACCATATGAACAGATAATCCGCATTCCAAGTAAGTGTATAAAAAATACTGAGCGAGACTTTTTCAAAATCATGCATTTCGCTGCATCAGGAGCATGCATATCCACCCATTCCAAAAGTCACAGTTTTACTGATTTTGAAAGCTTAGAAAAAGGCTGCCTCTCAAATGCTAGCACACTCTAGAATCAGAAGTCTAACAAAGAAAAATGACGTGTTCCATGTAACACATGCTTGTCTATACCAGAACAGTATATATTTTTAAGATTAAGTGCATGATTATACAGAAAACACTCCATTGATTTCAGGCCTGCAGGGTAGACATTGTTGCCAGGAATATGTTTTTGTAGCTCCAATATACATTTGAAGTTGCACCCCTGAACAGTTAAAAAACCAGCCAACCAAAAACTCACCAAAAGCCCCCAAACAAACTGAAAACCCCAAGAATAGTACACCAAGAGCCCTTCTTGACATATGCAAGAGAAAGAAGATTAAGTTTCATGTTTTGTCATCGTATGCCTTGTCTGTGATGGAACGTGTTCTTTTAAAATTGCAAGTCTGGTATTTACCATTTCTGAATTAGAACCATTGTGCAACTTCATAGCTTTTTCCTGTACATTTCCTATAACTGCATCTGCGCAGAGGGCAAGGGATATTAGGACCACACCTAATGTAAGAAAGAAACAAACAAAAGCCTGTTCAGAATGTTTATCAGCAAAGCAGAGTAGTGACAAAAACCACTCTGTACTTAGCCTGAAAAAAATAAAAAATCTCAGGTAATAATAAAATAATAATAAACCCCCTTGATATCATATTCTAAATGTCAGCAAAACTATTTCATTATACTAGTATAAAGCAGTGTCCACCCCCACTCCCTCCACCAATTAAGCCTGGAGCACTGTGTGTCTCTAAGCTTGATAGAAACACCTGGACATTGTTATAAAGAAGCTGACTGTAGTTTTTGTAGTAACAAGAGTGAAAGAATGTCAATTACATTTATTGAGGTATTTTTAATGAAGATAGATAACCAGATAACATACTCTTTTGAGTAGTTAATGCTTGATTATTTTTCCTGACAAAGGCAAATAGAAATGTTAGATGTAATGATAAAACAAATGCAAGAGACTTCACACTGGGAATCTTTCATTGTTGAAATATTAACTTTATATAAACGTAGTTCAGGTACAAACCCCATGGTTTTAGGTTACCATATTTGTTCACAACAAAGTCACTACACAGTCAATAATGTAATCAGCTTTCCAATAACAAAAATTAATAACTCTTTATCCATGCCAGTCACAATTCATTTCCCAACCTCCAAACTTCGATTCTTTCATGACTGTAGCAACTGTTGTATTTAATGTGGCAGGAGTTAGAAATTAATGATGCACACAGGTTGAAATACCACTTTTCCTAAGTATACAACATTACAGAAGAAATCAGTCATCAAAATCATATTTATTGTCTGCTCTAGTCTTAGTTCCTTAAAACATCGTATGTGTCAGGGAAGAATGAGGAGTGGAAGACTAAAAACAAGCAGTGTTATATTTTCTTAATTTTATGTTCTTGCTATCAGAGGTCTCAAAATAGGCATTCTGATGGACCAAATGCTCCTCACAGAGAAAAAAACTCCCAGCTCCTAGGATTTTCAGAACTGCAAGATTTAACATTTTTAAGACCAATGAAATTTAAGGCACTAAATGTATGGGAACTTCCAAACGAGAGTTTCTGGTTTGGGAACCATTTTGTTTCCCAGGCTAGACTTACGCAACTTAAGCAACAGAAAAACAGAAATACAGAAATAACATTGGTTATGCTAAAGACCACAGTATAGAGAGATTAACTCCATGGATTCAGCTCTGGTCCAAAGCTATAACACCACCTCCAGCTCAGCAATAGCCTTGCTGCAGATCACTTCTATAAAGTGACAATGTCTTCCTCTGTGTTCTCTACCACACTGGTTCCTGCAGTGCTTAATGGCCCAGGCACATTACTGGACAAATAGATGGGTTCAGTACTGATTGAGACGAAAAGGTTACCTGGAATCTGAAGTGTAAGTGCACATGGAAAGGAGAAATGTAGGGACAAGACACATGTTAATACTACATACATGCACAGGTTGGAGTATGAAGAGAAGAATTGTTCCACTCATGATAGGGCTGCATCTGTGGAGCAGCACCACCGAAACCATAAACAAGAACAGTAATGTGTAGTATGTAAAGCACAAGTAAAATGATTGGAAGAACTGGTCCCAGACTTGATTGAAACACTACATTACATTGTATTTTACACTATTAATGTGATGCCTGAAGTCATTCAAAAACTAACATGGCTTATACATTGATAAGCTATTGGATATTTACCTAAGTTCCTCAACACTACATACTCACACTTGCACTCCCCACCACATGAATGTGTTAGACTAGTGAGTTGTTTGAGGTTTACCTGCCCATTATGATCTCTTTAATGTACACATTTTATAAGCCTGCCATATGTAAGATTAGAAGACATAGTAGACGTAGCTAACCAAGTAATACCATCTTAACAACAGTGAAGCTAGGGCCAAAAAACCTGAGTCTGCAAAAGACTAAACTGTACCTATAGAAACAGTCTAGGGTGGAGCAATTTTCATGCAGTTGAAATTTTTACTGTCTCTTCACTGAAAACAGCTAATTTCCACTTACACCTGTAATGCCAGAACAGGTGAAGTTCCCATAGCACCAATGTTTCAAGACTGTCTCCTCCTGCACACCCTTCCCTTCTGGTTTCTCTTTTGGAAGTCTTGTATCTATTCACAGCTATTTAGGGTACCTACCACTGCCTCTCCAATTTAATAATGCTAGGAGATGCTTCGAGCTCTTAGCACCAAATCCATCTTGAAACATATACCTCTTCCTTAGTTACAAATATGTACCTGTTCTGGAAGAAGAGAGTTTCTGTTTTCTTGGCTGACCTCTTTCATGTGTAAACAAAATCTGTGTAGATTCCTTTATTGGCCCAGCATTGCTGAGATTAGATTTCAATAGCAGGGGAAAAAAAAAAAAAAAAAAAAAAGAAAAAAAAGGACTTGTAAAATTGTTTATCTAGATAATATTTGACATCTGCTCATGCTCCATTTTTAGTATTTGCAACAGACAAAGATTACGTGTTCTGTTTAACTTCACAGCATAGTTTTGCTCTTTTAGAATTGCGAAATGCAAACAGCTTGCTCTTAAGTTAGTAGACGTTCTAGGAGATCATGCTAGAATCATACTAGTTTGCATGGTAACAGTTCTACATAAATGTGCATAAATGACTGGAATGAACTGAGGAATTTAGGGGGCAGTAAGTAGGCAGTAACATAAAACTGCAACTTCAGAAAACGGTAATTTAATTATGTTTTTGAAAGTTTTAATATCCTTAAATACTTTGGTTTTTCTTTGAAGATACAAAACTAAATTCTGCCTCTCTGCTTGCATTCTTACTCTGTGATTTACATCAAGAAAAGTATAATTACTCAATAGAATATGCCATTTTGCAGAGTGAGCAGAGGTTTTAATAATTCTTATTAATGGTTTTACACTTTGGCAGCTACGTATTTCTGCAACCAAAAATCAGTATGTTTCTTGAAGGAAGGGACCATCTATCTCTGTAATTAATCCAAGAAAAGGAAAAACTCCACCTTTCCCATTATGAAAAGTTTCTTCTGGTTAAATTAAGTGACATGGGAGTAAAACAAAACAGGCAAGAGGAACAGAGAAATACAGAAAGAACCTTCTCAGAGGGTGATCAGGAGATTTTCCAATGACCTTCCTAAGGGGAGATCCAGACTTTTGAATTCTAGTTCTACATTCTTTCACAGAACTAACTTCCTCCAAATGGTAGCGCTCTAAGCTTCAATGTATACAGACCTGTTTGAAGTGTTCAAAATAAATAAATAATGAAAGACAACCCTGTTTATTCTCTGAATACATTTAAAGTTTTTTATCTTGTGTTTTGCACATCTTTGAGGGCGTCAGGACTTTGCTACATTTGCTGCACTTTACCCTATCGCATTCAGTTGAAGAATCAACTTTCCAAATCTTTTCAGAATTAAGTCATAGCACATATTTAAAACAATTCAAATTTTGCAAAAGGAATATATTAACATGTGAATGCACTTAGAGACTGCAGTCAAAAACAACTGTAATGGTAACGCATATCTATACATCAGAAAGACTAGAATATAATTACATGCATACTGACATTATATGTACTCAAAAGATTTTTTTTTTCAAGTAGTCACCCAGTTACACCACACATAAACACATCAAATGCACAGCAGGTTATATCATTCACAGATTTTTCACTACCAGTAGCACTAAAATTACATTACAAGGCATGAGAATTAATTCATGAGCAAGGCAAAAGATATATACAGTTTAGACAACATCACAAACTGATCATTACTAACACTAGAAGAAATAATATTTTCTGAGGACATAAAGTCTTTTCCTTAAAACCGAGAATTTGTTATTATTATTTTTAGGAACGAAACTTCTAAATCAGTGCCTCCACTATTATGAAACGAAGGTTTCACACTGAACAGCTGTTGTAACAGTTGCTGTAACTCATCTCAGAATTTCCAAAGAAGAATACACTAAAAATTGAATATTCAAAAGTTTTCAAGGTTCACTATTAATCCAAACACTGGCCAAATAAATAATGTGGATTTTATGAAAAACCAATACTACCTTGGCATTTGAGAAAAAAATTCAACTAAGGTTTTAAACCCAAGCAGGTTAAAATCTTTCCTTTGCTTCTGATTTTACACTGTATGGAAAAGTTAGAACATGGGCACTACAACTAAGAACTACAGCAAATCTGAGTGAGGCCATCAATTAATATAAAGTAAATGGTTCTGAAATTGAAAATGACTTAAAGCTTTAATTAGAAAAGATGACTAATCTTTTGAAGTTTTAAAATGGTCAAACTGAATTTTATCATATTTTAACGTATCTACTGGGAAGAAAGTATTTCTTGAGAACAAGCACAAGACATTTTAATCTAAAGGGTGGAATTTCCATAAATTTTAAGAACGTAAAAACTAACACTTAGAATAAAGGCCTCTTCTGCCACAAATATAGTTCTGCTAGTGCAAAGCTACAATGAAACCTGCATTTTCCATATGATACCTGAAGGCACTCCACCAAGAACTCTCAGAACTTCTATGGAACACTTATTGTAGGAAAAAACAAGCATTTTATTAAACTCTAAAATATACTATATCTTTACCTGTCAAGTTGAAGTTGGGTGCAACTGTGCTGTCAGCTAAAGTAAACCATATTAATCCAAGACTCATACATAGGGCAGCAGACACATCTGCAATATTGTAACGTTTTCCTACAAAAGCAATACAAACAACACGAATGGACTATTAACACTCTCACAATTTCATGTTTACCTGTTTAGCAGACTAGAAAGCAAAGGAAAAACTGTTCTAATGTCATTCTTTTACTTCAGCAGAAGACTTAATGCTCTGGCCTTTCACGACTGAAATTAGTTTCTTCTACAACAGCAGTTCCTAACATGGAGGAGGATCTTAACAGATACTATCTGATTCCTGTGGTCAGTTTTAGTTTTACTCCTATTGACATAAAGCACATCCTCCCTGACACAGCACCACCTCAGCAACTTCAGGGCAGCTTTGATGCTCTCTTAAGCTTTTTCTCTCATGTAAGACATTTTGGCTGTCTTTTTGATTACAGAGAAGTCATTAGAGAGAAGTCCCAAACACTAACAGATGACTTTCGTACTTTTAGAACCCTCAGTTGTCCCTTAGTTTGGGAGAGATGGGATGCGGGGGGGGTGGGGTGGAGAAAGAGAGTAGGGAAATGAAAAGGCAGGAGTTAGCATATCTTGTTTGAAGTAACATATTCCTTTCCCAGAACCTGTACTTTCAATATAAGCTTCCAAGGGAACTTTTCTGAACTGAGAGTTTTAATTGAAAAATTTTTAAAATAACAATAAAAAAACCCCCACAGCTTCTGAAAATACAATACTACTGCAACACAAAGCTTTAAGAGAATACCAGTGTCTCTGCATTACAATGATACAAAATGACTCCTGAGAAAAGGTAAATACTCTGTGCACATGTGCGCATGTAAACCTGTACCCTGCTCGAAAAGTTCAGCTTTCTATTGCAACTAGAAGGCCATAGTTAACTATAGAAACAGAAATCTATCATTCTAGGTTCTGTTCCACAACACTTGCCCGTGCAGAGCTTTACTGACTTAATGAATCCTTGTACATTGAACAAATAGAAACCTTTATAATATACTTGTCTTCTAAATCAGGAAGTACTGAAGTATGTTTATTCACATAACTACAGCCTTTCTCTCTTGTTCTCCAGATCCCTTTTTCTGTTCTTGGAATATGAACTATGACTTTAAGACTAGCCAAAGGCATGTAAAAAGTCAGGTGTATTTGTGATTAAACTTTTAATCAAAATTTAAGAATTTTAATTAGGAATTTAGGAGTCAGGCTTTTCAAACAAGAAGAATAGGGGATTTCTTCACAAATCGTGGCTGGATTTTATTTTTTCTTTCCATTTCAAGTTTTCCATTTTAGTATGGAAAATGTTTCATTTATGAAGTGATTTGGTTTAGAAAACAAAGTTACTCAAAATTAAGAAAACCTGCATAAAATCAAAGTTTTGCAAGTGACCTGTACAACTTCTTTTCCCCCAAATTTTCTGTTCATCTAATTGTATTTGTACATTTTCTGAGAAGATGCTTCAGAAATTCATGTTTTTCGTCCTATAGAAAAAATGCTACCTGTCCCTCTCTAGCCAAGAGCCTCAGTGGAATTTAATACAGTACAGGATTCCATAAATGACTGCCTCCCAAAGAAAAAAACAAAAAGTCTTCTAACACTTACCTTGTATAAAAACCCCGCCTATCATAACTGGAATCAGCTTACAGCACTTGAAGATGACTTGAGTAGGGTAATTCAGATACCCTAAAGAGGTATTTGACAGACCCATAGTTCCCACTGTTAAAAACGCTATTATCATGTAGGTTTTGCCAGGAATCCTACAAAACATAAACATACAAATCTTGGTATTACACACACATCTAGAGGAGATTTAGCTTGGAAAATTTAGATAAAGGAGTATGCTTGTAATAAAACTTGACCGTCCTTCTCACTGAATTTCATTCTGTAACAGAAATTTTAAAATGCACATAAATGACCGATTTCAAATTTCATTTCTTTCAATTACTGCTAATAAACAGAATTCAAATACAAGACAATAAAAACTTCAAGGCTCATGAAGTAGTCAAACAGTAATTCTTTAACCTCCTTCTGAGAAGGTATATTATTTACAGAAGAATCAAGACAAAGGCTTCAGGTTATTTGTCAAAGGAAACACAAAAGTTTGGTATACCAAGATATCCTGAATCTTAGTCTTGTCATGGTCACTGTGTCAATTTTTTTGGTGAAGCTTTCACATGATCATTGATATTTTTAGAATGAGGAAAGTTGAAGAAAGTACCATTGTTTTAGAAAACTCAACAGAACTAAGACAGAGTGATTCAGTATCATGAACAGAGGGGCTTGTTGAACATTTTCAGATGTATTGTTTGCAATTTGATGAAATTATCACCTGACAACAGATGATCCAACTGCAATCTTTAGCAATTGCTGTGCTCAATTTGTGATTTTTTACAGTTATTGTTGTGCATATGTTCAGCTATTTTTATGCACGCTCAGAGCCACATGAAGCAACATAGAGATGTCTTGCTGTAACGCTCTCATCCATAATTCATTATGTGACATAGGCATACTCTGAGGCATGCAAGAAAAATTTAAAATTTAAGAAACAGAATTCTGCATAAAAATTAGGAAATAGATTTTTTTAATGTCTACAAGAAGATGCCTAGGTTATAGAAAATAAAATGTAAAATACATTTAAGATCTAGATTTCCAACATAACTTACTCACAGGGTCATGCTCTGTAAGCATTAGCAACTATTTGGTAATCAAAACTTAAATACTAGTTACAGAACACCCAAAAGGTAACCACACAATATTATCTGATGCATCTCAAGAAGTCAGATAACTTGAAATATATAAGCTGTCGGTGTTCAAAATAAAATGAATAATTTATCAAAGTACCATTGTTTGCATATAAAAGCATTCTATTAGCTAAAATCAGTATATGCGAAATCAGACAAGGCTGACCACAGGTAAGGAAAACTGGTTATGCTCAACTAGGATACAATGCTTTAAAGCAATTTTAAAATTCATGTACACCATGACAGCCTCTATCTAAGCTTCCCAAGGGCCTCAATATACAGTTTGCAGAGGCTGTAATTGGGCAGAAAGCCATAGAATGGCCACACTGAGTCAGATCAAACCATCCCATATCCACAGGATTCAAGACAGCAAGAATCTCATTGGTCAACTGCAGTGAAAACACAGAACAATTTTGTGGCAGGGTGTTATGAGTGCTATCTTAAATGAAAAATGCAAAACCTAAGCACATCCTTTGAAGCAAACCTACACAGCCACACAGCAGAGAGCAGGCCTCTGACACTCTCCAAGATGCACAGCATATTAGAGGAACCTCTCAGTGAGGAGGTGCCAAGGTTTGAGGAAAAGGTGTTCAGTGAGAGACAGCTTCAAGTGCTGTGAAGTGTAGTTGGCCCTATTCTAGATGTGATAATCCCAAGCAACATATACATGAGTCAGTCTGTTTCAGCTGCCTTAAGGACAGAATATGCTCTGTAAATGGGACAAAGTGACAGTAGAGTCAACAAGAATACTTACAGGTCTGAAATCTAAGTGGGTGCTTATAAAACATGTTCTAACATAATCCAATAAATTCACATTATTTTAACTATGGAACTGCTACTAATGCCTCATGTTATTCACATTCAAACAACAGAAGTTAAATTTACCATAAATAACAAATGCTTCTAATTTGACAGACAGTGGGTAAAATGCTTGGAAAAACACGTACCTTCTCCTTTTGTCCTGAATCAACTGCAATTCTATCAGTCCAAAAATGGAATAAAATCCAAATTGCACTAAAGTGAGGTACCAACCAAAAGGTTTAAAACCTTCCACTGAAAATATCAATTCCTATAAAAACAAAAACCCACCAAGGTCACACACATACACCAAAATATTAAATCAAAACAAAATCAACAGAATTTTTCTCTTCACAGACATGCAAATCTAGCCTCTGTAGCCACTGGTTATTAACTAGAATTTACCTGCCACACATAACTCGTGAAGTATTGAGAAAGACAATTTGGGTTCTATAAAATGCAATGAGAAAATTTACTGCTGGTGTAAATCCACTGAAATTAATGGACCGATTCATGAGGGGAATACATTTGATCCATTAATATTTATCTGAAATTATAGACGGTTTCCTGTCTGCTTTTCAGTTGTTTTTCAGGTTTTATCCAGAGTTTATAAATAGATCACAATAAATTAAATACAAACTTCCTCTAACAGACATATTTACTGATAACTTTCATCTCTTAGGAATGCACACCTAATGTTTTGAGTACCAACATTAAATAGCACTTATGAGCTTATAAATTTGCAGACTGTAGGAACATTTAAAATCAGAGTGATTTGTTATGGAAAAATATACGCACTGCATAAAGATTTATGCAGATGTGTTAGTTCTAGAAACAAAAGGCTACCTAATACTTTCTTTTTTGAGATTCTGCTCTCAATTACTGATAACTTTGTCTAACTCTTTGGAAGTAACTTTATTTTAACAAGCTTCTCAGCTGTTTTTGAAAACTGCATTGGACGTAAGGTGATTTTTACTTATCAACCTTTTAAATCACTGCTTTATTGTGAAGACTCACTGAACTTAAAAATAAATAAATAAATAAATAAAAAGAACAGAAATGTAGCGCCTCAAGATAAAAGAGAAAAGGTTAGCAGGAAGAGAAATGTTTAATTAAAACTGCATAAACATTATGCTTCTCCTTAACAACCAACTATAGTACACGTTTCAGCTCTGTCCTGAAGGGACAGCAGAGAGAACAATAGACTACTACTATTCCCGTACAGCACTCACAGAACTCAAGGAGATCTAAAGGTTTCAACAACAATGAAGACTTACATGTCACGTCTGTACAGTTCTACAGTTGGTTTGTTTTCAGAAGACTATGAACTCGTATTTAAGAAATACACATTCAAAACAATATTGAAAGATGTATCTTGCATACAGAAGTAAAAGATCAAGTTATGAAAGTCCAACTGAACCAAACCTTGTAGGCAGATGAACTATAATGAAATCTTACATTATACAATTACTGCTCTTGAATTCTGAAAGCTTGACTTTGCAATCAGTACCTATTTTAAACGTCTATACATATTAAAATACAGACTGTATTCTTACGCTATTGAAAAAGAAAGGGGTAGGAGGAATTGGCCTAAGACACAAGTTCATAGTATTTACCTGTAAATATCCATAGATTAGATAAAACATAAAAACTCCAGAAACACAGATGAAAAATTGAGTAGGTTTGTTAAATTTGCTGAGATTCATACCAAGAACTACAACATCATCTACTGATTTGATATGAGGAGACATAGTTTGAGATTTGGAAGGTACGCTGATGGAAATGTATTTTCTTGATGAAGTGAATTTCAGATCCATGACTCCTAGGTCGCTGCATTCGGTGCTATTGTTATCTTCTTTGTGCTCTTCTGTTTCTGTGTGTCCTCTGTCTGAAGGCTGAGAGAAACACTGAAGTCAGATAAGACTTAACACAGAGCCTTCCAACAATAACAGTAAACAAATGTGACATTTATATGGAAAATATAAAGGTTTAAGAGTTTTGTTGGAATGTTTTTATTCACAAATTTTATTTATCTTTTCTGAATGTCCAAAGTTAACATCAGTTAATGTCAGAGGCCAACAACACTTTTATGAAAGCAGTTTTGCTTCATGTGGGAAGTAGTATTCCTACACTCTTGTACAAAACAAACAAACAAACCCCGAAACACCAGCAACAGAAAACCAGTTGCAGTTTCATAATAGCTTAAACTAGCCCTTTTATGCCAGTACTCACAGGAGTGACTGCTTGGGAAAGAAGTGATCCCCGTGATCAAATCACAATGAAAGGACTGGTATTGAAACACTGTGGTTCTGTCAACTTCACTTCATTTTCAGAGCAAAATATACCAGACTATTCCACTATGTGGGAAGCCTTGCTAAAAACTACAGATTTGAGCCTATGATTGGTTACAAGTGTTGAACTGGAAGAAGTTATCCCCTCATTCTCACATTTACTCACTATTTCTCACACACTTCTGAGGAAAAGAACATGAAGACGGAAACAAGAAGATTAAGAAGCCAGTCTCAGACATTAGATTGGTTATCTGATGAGGTCTATGGTATGGCAATCCCTTTAATATTAACCACGTGCAGCCACTTCTACATGTAACAGAAAACAAAATTGGGTAACTGAAGCCTGGAAAAGGAATTTAGCAGCTTAATAGATTGAAAAGCAAATAATTCTTTTCTCCAGCTCAGCAGAGAGTATGCTGTTTGAGGCTTTTTTTTTTTCTTTTTTCTTTTCAGCCTCAAGATAAACACACTGGTCAGTCAGTCATCCCAAGATTTTTAAGTGTAGGTCAGCATCTAGTTCAGCAAGCGGTTGGTAATTAAATTCTGTTTGTCTCAACTATTTAGTGGTTTGTTTTCTCCAGCTCAAAAATACTTCTCCTCATTGCACATGTATGAAAAATGCTTTTCCCACTGTTTTTAAATGGAAAATGTGCTAGTATATAAAAGCTAGATCATGCAATAAGTGTAGTAAATGTAATCTGCATGGACATTGGTAATTTATTATACAGTATCAGAAGTGACATGAATAGCTGAAAAATGAAGGATTAGTATAAAACTTACAATGTGGTTATGTTTCCTTTTTTGATACCACCTACCATCAGGTTGGAAAAACATCCTTATTAAAGTTCTCAAAGAATAGCTTGGGGACTGTAACAGGAGTTTAAGGACAACAACAATGGTGTTTAAATTCAGAGCTCTTCAGTTGAAAACCAAAAGCAGGAGGTAGAAAGTTTACCTTTGTGGATTGTTAGCTAATCCCAAAATGAGGTGGCCATAAAAAAATGGAAAAAGAAAAAAATTAAGCAGACTCTCTTCAGTAAAAACAGAAAAGTACCAATGTCATACAATAAAGTATTATTAAGCCTTTACGTACAACATCATACACAGGTCTGATGTCTCTCAAAGACAGATTCAAAGAACAACTGCAAAAAAGGTTGTCAGGATGGAGGAACAGATTGCCCATCTTATGAACTGAATTAAGATGAAAGTGTAACTTGTCTAGCTTAGCAAAACCCTGATGAAAAGAAAATAGATTTGTTTTCAATAAAAGTATAACAGGGATTACCACTAAGGAGGAAAAATAATTCTAATTTTAAGGAAAGTAGCATGAGAGCAAACGGGCACGAAGTGATCATGCACAAACTTTACTAGAAACTTGCTTTTCAACCCTAGATCATCTGTATTCTAGAGCAGTCTAAAAATGAAAGAAGGAACAACTGAACTGTTTCAAGGTGAAGTTTATGAAAGCATTTATGAAGAGCTGTTAAGATTGGGTGTGATGACTGAGCAGTCCTCTTTAGTCCCGTGTTTATAGCATTCCACCACAATGAAAAGCAGAGAAGATACTCAGTGATCCTTACTTGGCCACTAACCCAGGATATGAATTACTACCGTCCCGAGAAGAATTGTATGCTAAGTTAGGACTCCCAAGTTCAAGCCAAAGGAGCAAATCACCATAAAGAAAAGGCAATGTATTTAGAAATCTATCCATTGCTGACATCTTAGCTGAATTTTTATTTTCACTGATGCCTGTTCAGACCTTTTCTGTCCAGTGTACCCTTCCTTTTGACGGGCACATGGTATTTGTTAATGTCACGCTTCCTCAGCAGTACCAAGAGCAGCGGAAGCAATCTGAGCCTCACTTTTCACCTAAGATGAAACAGAGAAAGACATATGCCCAGCAGATGACACAGTCGTGTACTGTCATGTGTGCTTCAAGAGTCCAAAAATGGAGTGAATTGTATAATGTACAATTTATATAATGTATAATTTTGTACCTACACTCTGGCTGCTAATTTAGATGTTATTTGTGTAATACCTGTGTTAAGATCAGAAGAAGTAGAGGGAAGAAGAAAGAGTAACAAGTGTATTTATGTATTGGTCTGGCTGGGATGGAGTAAATTTTCTTCAGAACGGCTTGTATGGTGCTGTGTTTTAGATCTGTGACCAAAACAATGCTGATAACACACTAATGTTTTCGCTATTGCTGAGCAGAGCTTGCACAGCATCAAGGCCTTTTCTGTTTCTCCTTCTGCCTGCCCCCTGCAGTGAACAGACTGGGGTCTGTGCAGGAGGTTGGGAGGGGGCACAACCAGGTAGATGACCCCAACTAACCAGAGCTATTCCATGCTATAGAGGGTCATGGTCAGCAATAAAAAGCGAGAGGAGGGGCGTTGGGGAGGTTAGCCATCTTTTGCTCAGGAACTGGCTGGGCATCATTCTACCTGTGGGAGAAGTGATTGCCTTTACATCACCTGTTTTGTTTTCTGTCTCTCTTTTCCCACTTTTCCTCTACTTCTTAAACTATTTTTATCTCAACCCATAAGTTTTCTTGCTTTTACTCTTCCTTTAGTCTTCCCCCATCCCTCTGGGGGTGGGGAGAAAGTGAGCAAGCAAGCAGCCGTGTAGTGCTTAGCTGCCTACCGGCATTAACCCACACCACAATTAACACAATGTTTTTCTGATTTTCAACTACTTATATTCAAAATATTTCCTCAGGAACACCATCAGTTTTTACAATCTGTCCATTTAATTTCTTGCAGATTACTGAGTCTACCACTAAAGTAGCAAGAAACAACACTGATAGCTCTAGTCACACCCAAGACCATCCATAAGAAGATGATGCACAGTCGTTATTTTTTCTCTATTATGTTCTAAGGGAAACAAAACACTACCATGTTCAAGAAACATTTCAAGGTACATTATTTAACAACTGAAGAAACTGTAAATATACGTATCCATTTCAAACATTCTCCACTAAGTAATTTCATTACCAACAGTGACAGAGCTCTTCTTAAGTCCACTGTGACTTCTCAAACTGTTATTTTTCTAAGTATCAAAAATGCTATTCATCCTCCTCTCACCAAAATCCCTCAGGCAACCGATTCACCTTTAGAGTACACACACAGCAAAAATTTGTTTATGAAGAGTCAAATGGCTTAGGACCTGTCTTGATATGTGTAAAATAGGATATTCCCCTTTTTCTTTTCTCCTGTGTATAAAAACATAACCACCACATTCTTTAGATCAAAGACTTTTTGTTCCTTCCCCTTTGAAAAAAGTCCCACTCAGAGCAAGATTTTAACCTAGCACACAAGCAAAATAGAGTGATTATTACACAAAAAAGAAGCAAATGAACAAGTACCTAGAAAAGCAAAATTTCTTTGGCCTCCAAAGAGTTAATGACTTGTACCAAGCATGGAAAAAACATTATGAAGAAGCTGGGCCTTTTTTACTTAACCTTGAAGAACATCCATTAAAAACATCAGTTTGGCAGAAACTAGCACTTCAGTACTCTCAGAAAAACCCCTCGCATGAGCCACGCGAGGCAAGTTCCACACTAGCCCTGGCCAAGATCCATTTCCTTTGGAGCATTCCACAAATGCTTGGTGGCAGGACAGCAGCTGGCACCGTAGCAGGGATGCTCCGGGTTACAGGGACGCAAACATACATCTGTCAGAAACCCGAGCAGATCCTTTGCTTGGTGGTACCTGCCCCGGAGGCAAAAGAAGGAAGGGGGACAGGGACCAGCAGGATCCTTGAAGCTTCCTTCCTGCCCACTCGCCTGCGCCCAGCCGAGCCGCCGGGGCTTG